CAGACTGAGAAACAGTCATCTGCTGAGCAGCCCAATACTCAAAACCGGGCACTCTAGGCACAAATGTTCATAAACGGTGCTTTCCGCAATGGCTAATTTAATTGATGATGTTAAAACAGATGGCCTAACAGATGAAACAGGCACATAAATAAAAGGGGAAGTTGCAGATTGAACCATGACACATGCACAAGCAAAGCACCCTGCCAGTTTGGACCATGTGTGGTCTTCTCTGCTCCTGCTCCAGTCAATGCATAATTCTCCTACTAAGTGACTACCAAGCAATAATAAGAGATTGGAGGCCTGGTTGGTCATTCCTTAAGAAGTTATTATTAAAAATAAAAACAAAAAAAACATGTCATGCTTATTTACTGCAAGTGTATCTGGACAATCTTAACTTGATACATTAAATAATTCTCATAAACACTATAATTGTTGTTGCCTTGCCTTTTGAGGGCCAGTAGTTGCCTACATGTTGACTTAACTTCCTTTTTGATACCTGTTGCCTCGCCTTTTCTAGGCATTGCCTGTATTCTTATATTTCATTAGAAAGGGTGTTAGCCAATTGCTAGAGGGAAATATTTTGAGTGATTGAATTTTGTCATATTTGGGAGTTGGTTTGTGGGTCTTATAATTTTTTTGACAATTTAATCTAGAAAGCCACAATCAATCTGTTTATGTATTGAAATGGCGGTGGTGTAGTTTTGTCGTGTCTTGAGGATCACTGTGGATTTTCTGGAAGTGTTATGTACAGTTATGATTCGTTGAGACTCAAAGAAATTAACAAAAATAAATGCCGAATTTTATGTCATGTGAAAACACTTTTTAAACACAAAATAATTCCACATTTTCTTTTATATTCTCCCCATCTTCTTGGCACCCAGCAGAGTACGTTAGAATAATGCTCTTACAACTATTGTCATATGTGCAATTTTGAAGTGATGAAGGTAGAACCTATTCCAAAGTGCAAACTTCCTTGTTGAGCCATTTTCATTGAGAACTATGCAATATATCTTCTCAATTTGTATCGAGGTGAACTTCACTATAAAACCAGTCCTAACACTGGTCTACTTGCACATAATTGAGTTCGACATATATGTGTTTTTTAGATTTTGAAGATTTGGTGGACTCTATACTTTTTTTCTATTGATATATGGTACTATCTATACTTTCATCTCCATCAGGAGAAAAAGAACCATTTATTGTTGGAATGGAGTATGTTCACCCTTCTTGTCTTTTGTTAGCGATAATTGCATATTAAAAAATGCAAAATAAGCACAAAGTAGAGCCCATGATTTTCACCAAGAACGACAAGAAAAAAAAGGGCTTCATGCCAGCCTGGAAGATTAAGTTACCGAACAATAATGATTGTTTCACAGTAATTCTGTTAGTGATTTGAAATGATGAAATTCTGAACTGAGGAACTTCAATTTCTAAGTTGATGTGAAATTGAATTAACTTCTTCAAATTTAACTTCTAGTGAGGCTTTTGCTACTTTCATAATGCTACTTCCAGTCTCCCTTGCTTTTTCCATGCATCTTGTTCACGCTGTGTTCCGGTTTGAGTCATGATGGGTCAAAGGATATATGAGTTGGGTTAGCAATTTATCACAAGTGAGTGGTTCTTGTGCAAATTATTTGAGGGAATATTTCTGCTGATACTCTTTTGGTTAATATTAGTTGAGAGGTGGGGTCTTGGACAAAGATGTGCCTTGTACATATTTAGGTTGTAGAATCCATAGGAAATCATTGAACTCTGGAGTGTGGCATTCATTGTCTCCACAATAATTTCTACTGCATGTAAGCCATATTTCTAAGGAAATTTTATGAATATAAAATTTACAATATGCTATGACGATATTAACCTCAAATCAAGCTTACTCAAGTATCCATTATTCCCTTGTGAAAATACCAGAGAAGTTGAAATGCTATTACCGTGGCGAACTCCTCTTTGAATAATTAATAGTATTAACTCTTAAATTCTACATACAGGTGGCTCTTGATTTGAAGACATAGATTGTTTAACCAGTGCAGTTCTCAGGTCTATTCAACGTACTAAAGTAGTATGATTGTGTATGCTGCAAATAGGAAGTAGGAGTTTCTTTGGTAACAGGAGAATTATATCATGCTATTTTTGGTGCACCATTATTAAAATGACATCATTTTATATTCTGTTATAATTTCATGGCTCCATTCTTTTATTGAAAATCATCATGTTGATTGAATTTGCATTTTTAAAAAAACTACATGAAATCATTACGTTTTGTTTCTATTGTCACAATTAAACACCAGAGATTAGGGTATGAATGTGGCTGCTGGACTGGAACACTCGAGATGGATGTTCATTTGTTAACATGCATGAACATATACTGTGTTTGTATTTTATTTCAATTGAACTGCGAGAATTGTGGCCTTCACTTAATCATGGTGCTTCATGGTCATTTGTTGCTTCCTCATAAAGCTCAAAAAAATAACCAAGATCATAATTTAGCGGAAGAAACGGATAGACGAAAACTGACATATTGCTCGCGTCACTTTCAGTATGCATTTACGTTACAGCCACAACATTGCAGTGAATTATTCTTTGGTGGGATGGTGACTGGTTCCTTTTGGTTTCACTTTTCCTGATTCCTGAGGCCATCCATATTCTTCTCATCTTCTTTCTATGCTTTTGGATTTGTAAGATCTCCTCTCATGGGGCCCTTAGAGAATAATAATTGATTAGGCAACTTCTTCTAAATGACTTTTGATTCACCGGACCTTCTGCTACTGACCTAAAAATACCAGGGGGTCGTTTGGCATCATCCCAGAATCTCCTTTACCTGTTATCGAATATATTAAAGCGAGAAAGGAGCTTCAAGTACAGCAGCTGGTTAAAGCTAAAGGTGCTTCAATAACTCTTCTTCTTTTCTTGTTTTTTCAAACCCTTTGGTCCACATATCATAAAACTTCTTAATAATTATATTCCTTTCTTTGAATTTTAAGTCTGATCTTTCCAATAAAAGGAATAATTGTACTGGAAGGAAGAACATGCAAGGTGATGAACTCCTTGTTGGATTTACCATGCTAGCTTTCAAGTCTAAATTTTATTCGTTACAAAGATAAAATTAATTTGGTAACAGTGTTATAAACATGTAATTAGTGAACCTTTTCATTGACTCTACACTCATTCTGTTGGATTTACCATGCTAGCTTTCAAGTCAAAAATCTTATTTGTTACGTATTGGTAATAGTGTTATAAACATGTAATTAGTGAACCTTTTTTCCCTTTTTACTCTACACGCAATCATCTACACGCAATCAGTGTGTCAAAATGGGTAGATCAGTGATTGAAATTTCAAAGTAATTACAACTTACATATGTACTGTTTGTGAAGACTTCAATGAAGACCATGTCTGTTCATTAGTTTTATTAGCTTCTTGCTAAGTTGATGATAGTCTCTTTAACATAATATACTTAGTGTCTCATCATTTTCACTTTCGAATTGCAGCAGACCAGCTGAATGTATGGCACTGAGATGGCAATGCTTTGGTGATCAATCATTGGATTTTGATTCCAGTGATCGAATTCTTGTCCCGCGGCCCAAGAAATCCAAAGATCAATCTGATATAATTGACTTTTGTGATTTGTTGTTGGCCATTGTGGCCTTCCTTTCTTTCTTTCTTCCATTTTTAATCTTTGGTGAAAACCTCTTTTCCTCACTTCTCCTTGGATGTGGTTTACAGACTAAAAAAGCCAACACTTCCTTTGGAATATATTTCATGGATGACTTTTGTGCACAGTAGGTCCAGTTGATTGCTTTCATATCAGAAAAAAGTGCAGAGCCATAAACAATGTGGACCTTTTTGTCATTTCCCAGACCTGGCCACCAGCTTGAGAGGGAGCTTCAATGGTCATATGTATTGCTTGAGAGTGATTTCATCATATCCCCTATAGAATGCCAGTTTAATTTGAGCTTGATACTTTACTAGAATTCCCCATTTATTTTTTGTCTCCGATGGTGGTGTCAAGCCTTTTAAAGTATTTCATAATCCACCATCGGGCCCATGCCATCTCGGAGGGTGGTGTCAGGCCTCATAGAGTATCTCATAATCCACTATCGGGGCACGTGCCATCTCAAATGGTGATGTCAGGCCTCTTAGAGCATCTCATAATCGACCATCAGGGCACATGCGAAGTGGCCCCAGGGGATTCGAACTCTCAACCTCCATCATGTGGTAAGAAACTTGTCATTAGGCTATCTCCTTGGGGGTTTACAAAGTTCCTCATTATGTTTTAACTTTTAAGTGGTTCTGTTTGGCACTTAGTGGTTCATATACAGTTGCTGTCAGGTAAAAGATTAAAAGATTAAAAGATTAATCAACGCTTGTTCAACATCCTTGAGAAGACATTAAACAAGGAAGTAATATTAAACATTTGACAAGAGTGAATGGATTCACTTCTTGTTCTGATAGTAGTTTAGACGAGACTACAATAACAATCACTATGTAGAATTCTATATCAACTTTGATGAAAATGATGATCTGACTCACTATTGTATAAAATTACATATAATTTGGGAGAAATGGATTATTTTCAGTCACCCTTTCTTGTTGAAAAAGAACTTGATAATATAAATAAGCAGTTTTGTCCGAAAATCTATTGCTAGATTCTTTGATTCTTTCATCCCTACAAAGAACAAAAAGAATCTGCCAATCCCACCACACCCCCTCAGAAAAGAAAATTTAAAAAAGCAAAAAAAAAGAAGATAATTTTAAAGAGTGAAAAAAAAAAAAAAAAAAAAACCTATCTGGTTTCCCTTTCAGTCACTAAAAAGAAATATCCACTAAAGCATTCCCATTATTTCTATTTTCTTTTTTCCCCCTTCAAAGCTTTCAGTTTTGGAAAAGTTGCTCCCATTATTCATCATGGTGGGGCTACCTAATTCAGCAGGGAATCACACCCACACACACACACACACACACACACATAAAAATAAAAAAAACAGAACATACAGTTTTAATCTTTTCTCTCCTTTTGAGACTCAAATTGAACTGTGTTGCTTTCTCTATTTTGCTGCATCAGAGATTCTCTCTACCCTCTACCCCTTTCAAGTCAAAGAAGAAAGAAAAAAAAAATTAGGGAAAAAAAGAAAAAAAAAAAGGTTGATATGAAATGTGAAATGGGAGAAAGGAAGAGCCACAGCTCAGGGCATATATTCCCCCAACACAACCCCACTTATGTTTCCAGATATGGAGTGAGAACATAGGACACCCCCAACAACTCTCATCAATTATAAAGAGGGAACTATAGGCTGCCCACATATTGAAGCACACATATACACACACACACAGCTTGAACAAAGAGGATCAATATTCAAAAGCACAAGCACCATATTTATATGTTGTTTCAATCTTCACCCTACAAATGGATCCTCAGAATATGCAAAATCAAGACATGGGCTTGGTCTTGTCCAGTGATGCAAAGCCAAGGCTAAAATGGACTCCAGAACTCCACCAGCGGTTCATCGATGCCGTCGCTCATCTTGGAGGACCAGACAGTAATGATTTTATCCATTTTTTTTTAGCATGTCATGTCAAAGTCTATATCAAATTCTAATGCCATTTTGATGTTTTGTTTATATATGTACAGAGGCAACACCTAAGACCTTGATGAGGGTCATGGCCATTCCTGGACTAACTTTGTACCACCTGAAGAGCCATTTACAGGCAATTCTCATTTTCAATGATTTTTTTATTTTTTATTTTTATCTTTATTTTAAACACATACCATACAGAAAAAGAATTATAAGAATGTTGTTGTTTTTGTTTATTTGATTGCAGAAATTCAGGCTAGGGCAGAGGCAACAATCAGAAACCTATAATGGCAATAAGCAAGAAGGTAAAGTATATGTTTTGAATCAATCTATTAGACTATATAAACTGCATGAAAAAAATTCTGATTTTTTATTTTTTATCACAGATTATTCTGATGATGCAGAGTACAGAGAGAACCATAGAAGAGATTGTCATTTCAATGGGGAAATAATCAGTAGTGATGGAACACAGAATCAGATTAATGAGTAATAATATTTAGAAAATATTAATTTCCCTATTGTTTTGAATTCAGTCGTAGCAAGAAAAAGAAAAAAAACATGTACTAATCAAGATTTGTTTATCAGAGGTTTGCAGATTGCTCAAGCTCTTCAAATGCAAATGGAGGTCCAGAGAAAACTTCATGAACAAATGGAGGTAAAGACTCAATGAATTGAACCCATTGAACCCTTTTTAGAGAATTCATTTCTTTTCAAGATCAAAAGACTCAAATCAAGATATTTTTTTTTATTTTTTAATTTTTTTTTTCAGGTTCAAAGACATTTGCAGCTGAGAATTGAAGCACAAGGAAAGTACCTAAAATCAGTACTAAAGAAAGCACAAGAAACACTTGCTGGTTACAATTCTGCTTCTTCAGGGGTGGAGCTTGTGAAGGCTGAGCTTTCTCAATTAGTGTCGATGGCCATCACTGGTTGTCCAAGTTCGTCGGTGTTGACAGAAATTGAAGACTCGAGCTTGAAAGAGACAGAGAGACAATCCATGAAAGGCACAGGTGGTTCACTTGAGAGCTCATTGACTTCATCTGAAAGCTCAGGAAGGAAGGAGGAGAATCAATCTGACAAAAGTGAGAAAAGCTCTCTTGTGCTCTCATTAATGGATATGAATTCTAGGGACAGAAGTGGTGGTTCAAGGAAGAGAAGTGGTGGTGATCAGCAAGAGCAAACATATGGTAAAAGATCAACAACCCACAAAGAGAAAAGTGGTGGTGGTGGTGACCAATTGAGAAAGATCAACAGCATAGGTTGGTTTGATTTGAACAGCAAATGTGTGGGTGAGTTGGGGGGTTCAGGTGCAAAAGCAATAGACTTGAACTGCAAAGGAACAGAGCAATTCAATGGACATGTTTAGTGATTTGAGACGTTGATGACAGCAGATGGGATTAAGTGATAATATATATATATATATATATATATATATATATAGTCTATAATGCAATTGGTTCTTAGAGCTAAATATTTTGTTTATAAAAAACTATGTATATTGTTGTGTGTATGGACCCAAAGAACTTCTCAAAGTATATCCATATTTTAAAGGTGTAATTAATATATTGTGCATTCTCTGTCACACACACACACACACACACAATCACACACTGACACACATGAGCACTCACACTCACAACTGTACTTTGATCTTGAAAACAACATAGTCTCTTTTATTACCGTTTTCATTTTGTGTTTTTGTCGGAGATCCTATCAGTTTAGTAATGTTTGTTATGTTTTGCACGTTACAATATCTGCTACATAGAAAGTTCTAATTTTTTTTTTTTTTTAAAAAAAAAAAAAAAAAAAAAACAATGTACTCTAAACACTGTTATACATTCTCCCAAAATTGAAACACATTTAGTAACTTAACGTTGTTGCACATAGTTACAAAAATAAAAATAAATAAATAACAGATTTATATGAAATAAAAAATGCAAAACAGCTGCAATAAGAAATTGCTTGTTTCCTATATATATATATATATATATCATGAGGCAGGGAGTGGTTTGAGTGAAAGAGTAGCAAATTTCCGAAACCAAACTAGGCAAAGGTTGAAAAAGATCATTATAGCATCCAAAAAGCTAAAACCCCACAATAAAAGATAGTATCATTGGCTAACCATGTGCATTGTATACTAAAATGATTAGAAAAGAACATAAATCATATACATTATCCATTACCACTGTCGGCAAATAGTGTCATTCCTCCTACCAACCATTGCAACAAAAGTCCAGACATTGATCTTCTGAAAACCTTTGATGTGCTTCTTATAACTTTCATATGTTTTTTTCTATTTTTTTTTTTTTTTTGTTGCTAATCCACTTGTTTTCTTTCTCTTATTCTTCATTGTCTCAAGGGAATCATATATGGTGATTTTGTAGGTAGGATTGGAGCGGAGTGATCAAAATGGAGGCAGGTTAGTTGCATCTTATTGATAAACAAATATAAAAATAAATAAATAAATAAAAAATGAAATTTCTATAGAATAGTTACTAGCTATAAACATATATATATATATATATATATATATATATATTTAGTGGGCCAGCATGGGCAGGGGGTAGCTGCTCCCCCCTTGGCACATGTTGGTCCCGCCACTGAATATTTGCACACCGAATTCGAGTCACAAAACTCAACAATTAGAAGATATAATTAGTAATAATCAAGCGAGGGGAAAATTAAGAACAACGTTTGTTGTTGATAAAATTAGAGAAACTAGATTTAGGTGGTATGGTAATTTATAGCGTAGATATGAAGATGCATCGGTTAGAAAAGTAAGGGTTATTTTGCCTAAAAGGTAAAGACAGAAAAACCAATCAAAACTTACATTTTAAAGTTTTAACGCCTTAATCTTCTCAGAGTCATTTAAAGAGAGAATTTAAGTAACCGATCCACGAGACAAATGCAAGGGTAAAGATGATGACAATGACATTAACATTTATTTCTGATATTCTGCCTCCATGGTAGGAAAAAATGTAGCCCCACATGACATCAAATACCAAATAAGTCTCACAGTTTCTTTGGTTGCATCATTGTAGGGAAAATGGGTTAATTAGGACATTTTTCAAATAGAAATATGTTCCATAGTAGCCTCCATTAGAAAGGATTCTCTACACAGTGGTTTCAAGAGCATTTTGATGGAAAAACTAAAGAGGGTTTAAGTTTGTTTGATGAATATGGAAGGAGATAAATATCAGCTCATCTCCCATTCACAGAATATATAGAAAGTACCTGAACTTTTTTTTTTTTTTCCCCCAAGAATGCACTAATACATGAATGTCATGCTCCAATAATAATAGTAAGAAGCATCATAAGTACTTCTTAGCTGTTGTAATTCATGAGGCATTGAATTTTCATTCAAAATGGTTATATGGCCAACAATTAATTGCTTCAAGAAACAAATTGTATATGTATTCAGATCTTCCTTGCACACAAACCTCAATTTTTATTTTTTATTTTTAATGAAATGATGAAAATAAGCATAGAGCTAACAAGCCTAACATTCTTCATTGCCCATCCAGTGGATTCTCTGCAGCAGCTAGGCAAACCATAAAACAAAGCCTCCTGGTTTCAAATCAGTCCAAGCAGGCAGGCACATGTCCTGCCCATGGGTACCCACACAATTATGATGACAGTTGGAGAGTCATACAATTCTTGATGTCAATCTCATGCTTTATGTGCTATTGATCCTATTTTGTGTGACTTAAATTTTATGACTTTTACATGCAATGTTGTTTTTACACTTTTTACGCATTTCTTTACTTATTAAGTCACTTAGATTTTGTGCAAAATGCAAGTAAAAGAAGGCCAAATATGTAAATTAATTTTTTTATTTTTTAGTATTTAGTTATCGTAAAATATTTACCATAAAAAAATATTAAAATATAATTTTCAACAAGTTAAATGATACGATTTGTTCCATGAACAATATTGACCGTCGAACACGGAATAAGTAAAAATAAAATAAAAAAACATTTTACCCCAAAAAAAAATATTTTACTTTCCTAAAATTTAATTATTCGAGAGAGAAACAATTTGGCTTGGGTGAGTTCAGATTTCCTAAAAGATCCACCACAAAGGAAATTAAAGCTTGTTATCATAATCATTGTGGCTCTAGGATTGGATCAGATGCCAACAATGGTAACAGAGTCCATGAAATTGGAATTTTCAGTGACAGATTGATGGACATTTCTCAACTCACCACTTAAACAGCCAATGTTTCCAACCTCTCATTTGAGAGGTAAGTTAAAGAATCTTTTGTCCCATATTATTAAATTAAAGACCCTTTTGTCCCAGATAGTCTGGCATCCAATGCACAAATTATGCAGCTATAGTTCATGTTCTTGACTCTGACTAGCAGTGCTCTGTTTGTGGCTGGCAGTGCTCAGTTTCTATCTATACCTACATATCTCTGACAATAATATTCACTTCACAAAATTTTCAACAATTATATCATGAAGAGCATAATATATGAAACTTTTAATGAAAAATTGAGACAAATATTTATTGGTTTATTATTTGCAAAAGGACACAAAACCATAAGAAAAACTTTAGTTCTTATGTACAGGTTTGTAAAAAAAAAAAAAAAAAATTCAACCAAAAATTGTCTTTAGCCCTCAATTTCATGATGATCAGGTCTTGGAGGGGTTGAGGAGGAATCATATGAATCACTTGCAGGTGTTTGATTTGGACCACCACTTCTTCTCTCACTATTAATAGAGAAACTCACCCAAATTTCCCTCCTCCTCCCTCTCTCTTCACCACCACCACCACCACTTAATTTGTTCAAATCTTGATCATCATCAACTGGCATCTTATACCTACAAAGAGGGCAAGACCCATGAATCCCCAACCACTTTTCTATACAATCCCCATGAAACCTATGCTTGCAAGGCATTTCTTTGGCCAACCCACCAATTTTCCACTCCTCCAAACAGATCACGCACTCACCATCGCCACCTTCCACATCTTCTTCACTGATCACCGCACTTGGCATGGCCTCAACAGATGCTCTGGAGGCTGGTGGCTGACCATCCTTGCTCAGTAGGTCCCTCAGGAAAGAATCCAGGCTGGAGGGACTGCCCTCTATCACCACCATCCCCTGGGTCAATGGGTTCACCAGGATGATCCTGTCACGTGACTCACGTGAGTCTGGTGGTGTTTCTTGATCTGGGTTGTTGTTGCTGGTGCTGGTGGTGGTGGTGGTGGTGGTGTTTGTGAAGCCTAAGATGATGGGTAGGAACAGAGAGAGGTCTCTGTTTCTTGAACCCATCAAGCGTTCTAGCAAAGATTGCTGCTCAGGCACCTCTGTTTCAGAAGCCATTTGGGAAAAAAATTAGAGAGAGAAATAGAGAGTTTTTAGAGAGAGAAAGTGGGTGGAAGGTTGAGAGTGGTGGAGTAATGGGGATTTTTTTTTTCTAGTGGAGAATTGGGGTTGGGATAAATAAAGGAAGAGGTGCGCCCACAGGAATTGGTGTGGAAAGATCTAGAATTTTGTGTACTGTGTTTAGTTAATAGTTATGGAGGTTGATGTTTATCTAATTGCAGTCTTTGTCAATTGTAGATGATATTTATCAAGGGAAAAATAGTGTACAGAGGGTTCACTATTGTTCTCGTGGACTGCACTTCTTGATTCATGTTTCAAAAACATCAGCTGTTGGTTGGCTTGGATAGTTGGACCACAAGAAATAGACCTACCACCAACCATTCTTCATCATGGATCGTTGCTCTTGGTTTGTAACTCATGTTATAAACATTAAAAAGAAAATAAATAATGCAACATTATTGATCTTCAGTGTTACAAGTCAAATGAATGACATAAAAGTGGACTCCTCTGCATGCAAATAATTTTAGGAGATGGTGTGTGAGGCTATCAACAGGAAAATATATATACATTAGAGAAATTTTTATTTATTTATTTTTTCTTTTCTCATAACTCCAACTGCATACAATTATTCAATCTCATATGTAGTACATAATTATCAAAAATAAATGTTCGGGAATATGACTCGGATCTCTTAGGTATTTTACACATTACAAATGTTCATTATATGATTCATGATTTTTTTTTATTTTTTATTATTATTATTTTTTTTTATATGAGGAGATATTATACCATCTAAATTAATCGTTTGATAGTAACATACTTAACCGAATGGTAGGATTGAAAGATTAAGTTTAATTTGGAGTTGGGAGAAGAAAGAGTGATGAAGAATGAAAGAGAAATTTTTGTTTGATCGGAAACATAAATATGATTGCTCCCTTTTTGTTGGGATGGTAGATGTTTTTTTGTTTGATCCCCTGACCTCTGGGGAAGTGTTACGAGGACTTTTTTTTCCAGTTTTTGGTTTCATCTTAGGCTTGGAGTGTTTCTTTTAGATATAGGGGGTGTTCGAAGATTCTTTATATATATATATACTTTTAATAAATTTAGATACGAGTGCACCTATATAGCACGTACACGAAAGTAGAACACCAGTATAGTATGAATATGACTATATAATAATATAAATTTTTTTTATTATACATTCACTAATAGTATTATAAAACTTTAATTCATTTATAATTTCTATATTAAAAGTTCCTCTCAAATAAATTAGAAAATGAAATTACCTTATTATTGTAATAATTTTTATATTATGTATACCATTATTTCACTATTTTTTGTCATGGTAGTGTTTATATTATTTTCAAGATTACTGGGTAGACTTTTGTTAAAAATATTCGAGAAGTGTCGACGAAATGTCCGCAAAGTATAGGTGAAGTGTCCTATCCGATACTAAATCATTCTTTTGTAGAAGTTTCTATACTTCCTGAATTTACATGTCCTACCTTGTACTCTAAGCTAAATCTTTGAATCTTATAAATCTCACAACTGAGTTCACAAACTGAATGCTGAGATCTCACCATATTTCTAGTATTTCTTATAAATTTAATCTCAGTCACCAAAAAATACTATTGTGAATAAAAATTTCAAGAGCATTTTATGTCTTGAAAAAAAAAAAAAAAAAAAAACTTAAATTTACACTAGGTAAGAGTGGCGTTCAACTCTATTCCATCTGCACTAAACCGATAGAATAAATTACACTAATACTATTTTAAGGTTCTGATAAATTGTAAGTTTGATCTTTTTTAAAGTTTCAACAAATTATATAATAGTCAAAAAAAAATAATACATGAGAAGTCAATGATACCCTTATATTATATTATATATTAGAGAAAAAATTATCCTCATATAAATTTGGTCAACAAATGGCTTATTGAAGCCAGCCCACACAGAATTTTATAAACTTTTATATGGTTTGAAATTTATTTGATCAATTGAACTTTCGTAGCAGCATTGAATGACTATAATTAAACCCATCGGAGAAGGAATCCAATTTTATTAAATCAAATCAAATGACAAGACCTAATTTTCAAAGTCCTCTTTCAATTCATAATTTATGTGGTGGGGATAACAAGCTGAAATGGACCTACAACCAATAAATATTTTTGATGGAATCTCAAATATAAATATATATATATATATGTCCAGCTTTACCCTTCCATGCATGTTAGTGATTTCATTGACTTGACACTCGATTGTGCAGCAATTTTGCGGGGGAAGCTCAAAATATGAAGTTGTTGCACTGAGAGGTAATACAACAATCAGGTTTTTTATTTTATTTTTGAACTTTCAACCAAGCCCCCAATATTACTTTTTCAATAGTTCAGGTGCATGTCCACCATAAGCTCAAGCAAACGAGCATATACTCACAATATTAACCCTAACCTTAGAAGAGATCATCCCATTTGGGCTAATGCCCATTGATAACTCTCAGTTAATTGTTGGAACAAAAGAACTATGTATGTATATATTTATGGACTATGTCATGTATGCATATTTTTTTGCACAGGTTGTGTTTGATTAAAGTACTCAATGACAAATGACAGTTTCTTTTCTTATACCAGAACACCCAATGTATGGTATGTTTTAACTGAAATTGTGCCCATTTTACAGGTGAGAGAATTCTCAGAGTTGCTGTTCAAATTTGAGATCTTCATTTTGGGCTAGGGCTGTGGTATGGCTCTTGGTCTTGGGACTTATAATGCTCTGCAATTCAAGACTTGTGTTCCCTTTGTGGCTCCTTCATATCCTTCTAATATATTTCCCATGCAGAGTAGAAGTAAGTGAAGTAATTATCATCTTCCTCCTTTTTTTCATGTCATCTTTTGTTATTGGTTTTTCTTTTCTTTTGAAAAAAGACTAAATCTTTCGGACTTCGTCTAACCATTGATCCCCAGATCTTAGTTTAGTACAAGACATGCATGCAATATGCACATAATATATACTTACTGTACACAATGGGATAAATATGTAAAGACCCATGTTAAATTTCTTTCTCAATTTGCTTTTTATTATTATTATTATTTTTTTTGGGGGTGTTGTACTTGCTTTGTATAAAAAGAAAATATAGACTAACATAATGTTTTATGTTTTTTTTAAAAAAAAAAAAAAATTAGTTTTACATTATATATGAGCTAACTATAATGTCTTTATTTCTTTATTAGATTTGTATGGGAAACCATTGGTGATTCTAATGAGGGCAAACACTTACAAGGAGAGTGCGAAAATTAGAAACAGGAGATTGCAAAAAAAGGTACTGATGTCTCTTCATTTTCAGAAAATATTATATAATGCCTTGCCATGTTTTCAAGTGGTCCTATGCATGCTTAGAAGCAATATTAGTAAAGCCTATGATTGTGTTCAATGTGACTTCCTCAAGGCAGTTATGGAAAAGTTGAGGAGTCATTAAATAGGGAAAAAAAATAAAAATAAAAAATTTAGGAGTCATTGCTTGGTTAACAATGGAAAAAGCTCGGACTAATAAGCATGACAATCCGTGTTTGACTTTAAGAGAAGTTCCTTTTTGCAAAATAAAGCCAAAAGTTAGGTCTCTCTAAGTGAGGTGTATTTTGTGTCAAAATGTCTGGGTTGATTATGCAGTGTGTATGCACGATCCAATATTCTGTTACTGTGAATGACCAAAAGATGTGCTTAATAATAATTGAGAGAGTAACGACTAATATGTAGTTCAATACTCAGTTTTCTTTTTCATTTTCAGAATACCTGCCTTAGCATGTTTAGTCTCTGATGCGTATCCTTGAAACTATTCTTGCGTACCATGACCTGAAGACGCACAATGCTTGTACCTTCTTATTATATCGTATATTTCCCTCCTTTTTTTTCAGTTATTTCCCATTCTTGTGTCAGTTACCTTAACTCATCACAATCATCTTTCTTGCTTCCAAGTGGCTAAAGGAAACAGAAATACAGACTGAATAATCAGAAATTTGATATTGGCAGAATATAATGGTATAGATATAATATCATAGGTTAGAGCGGAGTACACAATATGATCATGCTCCCTACCTCTTCATATATCTTCTTCTATGCATCAATTTTTGGAGGGTTTTAGAACAAGAATGCAATAATAAGAACTTATGGGCTTTTATTTCAGTAGTTTATAGAAAGGGTTTTAAATTTTCTATGGAGTTTAAAATTGATAATTCTTAATTAAGAGTACAAAAGAGTGAGTTACAGGTAGCAGCAAGAAAACTAAATCATAGTCATAGAGGAGGCTCGTTATAAAATATAAAGGGTTTATACATTGAAAATTTTTAGAAGAGCTTGGGACTAAAGGGAATTTCAGAACCCTGGAGCACCATGGCTCCCAGGCCCTCCTCTATTTCAGTGGGAAAAATAATATTTCAAAAATGATATTCTTGTCTACTGAAATCGCGCAGACCTGGTTTCCTTCCTAGTATTTCTTTGAATTGTCCTTTTGAATAGCATCTATCTGTTTGCTAATATTTTGGAACTATGACTTTCCATATAATTTGACCAGTTTAATGGCTCACCTACAAAACCAAGGCTTTCGGTATTCTGTTCAGAAAAGCAGTTGTATGCTATGCTGGTAGATGACCAGAACAAGAAGTGTTTATTTTATGGAAGCACTTTGCAGAAATCTATTCGTGAGAATTCATGTACCACCATTGTAAGCATTCCTTGTTTCAGATACTTCTCATTTGTTTCTGGCTTAAAGGTTTGCAGTGTAATGCCCTGCTGTCTAATTTTTATTATATATAAAAATAAATAAATAAATAAATGATTATCCCAGGAAGCTGCTGAACGTGTCGGTGAAGAGCTTGTAAAGGCTTGTATCGATCTCAGTGTTGACGAGATATCATCTTATGATTGCAATGGTCTTGCTCGTGGAGAAAGGATGCAAGCCTTTGAGGTTGCAATTTCTCAACATGGATTCTTGACACGATAAATCTGCATCTAGTTCTATTGACCCTGTCAAAAGTGATAAGAATTCAATAAATTTGCTGCAGTGTGGAAGCAAGGTTTCTTGGTAGGATTTATGTCAATATTGCATATTATCATATCAGTAAAATGTTGTAGTCAATCAATTATGAGTTACGAAAAGAACTTTTGCTTGTCTATGCAAATCTCGTGTTTGTGGAGGAACTTTGGTTTCCTTTAGGAGATTCTGTTACATGCCATGCATGTCATGTTTTCGACATTCTATATATATATTGCAAGTATTGTTGCTAAAATAGAGGTTCGGCACTAGTTTTTGAGGCCTGATTTTAGGGAACAACTGAAGGCCACCGGTGCTGCAGTGAAGTTCTGATTCACCGGTGGTGGATCGCGAATAAAAACTGGAACTATTGTCAACCTTTGTGGCTGAAGTAAACAAGAATATAGGAGACATGTCTAAACCACCAGTGGGAAATGCTCCTTGGTATTTAGTGAAAGTTGTCATTGTTGATCAGTTGCTTGCCAAGGCAGTGTGCAGTGCAAGAAATTATTGGATAGCCCGAGAGTACTGACAATGTATATTTCCATTCAATAAAGCATTCACATTTTGAACTTTTAATACGAAATAATGCCTCACCATTGGAGCCTTCTTCAACAAAGAGGAGGCTTTGCATCATTTTTTGGTTTTAAGTGGATGCAATTGTTATGACATGAGGGGAAGTCCCCTTAACATGTTGACTCTTCCATATACCCTTCTCCCAAAGCTGCCACAGACGTACCTCTAGTCACCGATAGGAAAAAACAAGCAGTCACGAACGGAGTGCAAAAGACACTATCCAAAACATCCATGTTAGTCAACTTCCTCCCAACAGGATCCCTTCTCACCTTTGAAATGGTCCTCCCAACAATTTAGGGCAATGCTGAATACTCTCCGGTCAACACTCTAATGATCAGTGTCCTACTCGGCATCTGCACTCTCTCCTGTTTCTCCTTCCACTTCATGGACAGTTTTCGTGGACTGGAGGGGAAAGTGCATTACGGGTTTGTAACTCCAAGAGGGTTGCAGTCTTCAATCCCGGCCATGACGTGGAAGTCCCGAAAGATGAAAGGTACAAAGTTAGTTTCACTGATTTTGCTCATGCACTCATGTCTAATGGTTTTTATGGCAATTGCTTTCTTGGGTTATCGAGTAACGAATTGTCTGTTCCCGGGACATGCCAAGGAAATGGATGCAGTGATGGAGAGCTTCCCTCTAATGGTGGTTATAGTTTGCAGTGGACTGTTTCTTGTTTTCCCAAACACTAGATATGGCATTGGATGTATGGTAATTGATAAATGGCTGAAAAAGTTGTATTTCTTTCATATATCTCTAGGATATTTATACAAAATACACAGACTTATTCAAGGTAAGTCAATTATACATTTAATTTGCCAGCTAATACATTAACAGCTAATAGATAACATCAGCTAATAGATAACAGCTAATAGATAGATAACATCAGCTAATAGATAACAGCTAATAGATAACAGTTGTACACGTTAATTCTCCCCCTCAAGTTGGTGCATAGATATTGCACATGCCCAACTTGGATAGTGATGTATGAAACGAGTCACTAATAACACCACAAGTCATCATATCAGCCAACTGGTTCGCACTCCTAATGTAAGAAACCTGTATCATACCAGAATCCAGGTTATCCTTAATGTAGTTTCGGTCAAGTTCAATATGCTTAGTTCGATCGTGTTGCACTGGATTATTAGCAATATCAATAGTTGCCGTATTATCACAAAAAATCAATATAGGTTTCTTTGGACCAAACCCAAACTCACTTAAGAAAATCTTCAACCATGTAAGCTCTGTAATTGCATGATGAAGAGCACGGTATTCAGCTTCTGCACTACACAATGATACCACATTCTGTTTCTTACTCCTCCAGGTCGCCAAATTGCCTCCAACGAATGACACATACCCTGAAGTAGAGTTCCTATCCAACTTGGCTCCCGCAAAATCAGAATCTGTATAACCCACAATGTCTAAGTGTCCATGCCTGGATAACATAATACCTTTACTTGGAGAGGACTTTAGATAAGCCAAAATACGATTCACTGTTTTCATGTGTCGGTCACTTGGATTGTGCATGAATTGACTCGCAACACTAACTGCATACGACAAGTCAGGCCTAGTGTGAGTCAGATAGATCAACTTCCCCACTAGTCTCTGATATCTCTCCTTGTTTGTCGGAATCTGATCAGGATAGATAGTTAAGCCATGTTTTACTTCAATAGGAGTGTCTATAGGAACACACGCAGAGTTACCGGTTTTAGCCAAGAGATCTAATGTATACTTTCGTTGAAAGAGAAAAAGTCACTGCTTGGACCGAGACACTTCAATGCCCAGAAAGTATTTCAAAACCCCCAAGTCCTTCATTTCAAATTCCTTGGCCAAATAGCTCCGAAGTTTTTCTATTTCATTGGTGTTGTTACCTGTAACAATCATGTCATCCACATAAACGATAAACAAAGTATTATCATCACCATTCCTCTTATAGAAGAGAGTGTGATCTACCAAAGCTTGCTTAAAACCATAATTCTTCATTGAGTAGCTCAACTTGCCAAACCATGCTCTTGGTGATTGTTTTAACCTGTATAAAGCCTTCTTTAGCTTGCATACCTTACCTCCTTCAGGTGTAAACCCTAAGGGAGGATCCATATACACCTCCTCTATCAAATCACCATGAAAGAAGGCATTCTTCACATCAAACTGTTGTAATGGCCAGTCCAAATTAACTGCGAGAGAGAGTATAACTCGAATAGTGTTCATCTTGGCCACATGAGCGAATGTCTCTTAATAATCAATCCCATACGTCTGAGTGTATCCCTTGGCAACTAGTCTAGCCTTGTACCTCTCAATTGTCCCATCTGACTTATACTTCACTGTAAACACCTACTTACATCCCACTGTCTTCTTTTCCTGAGGTAACTCGACCAACTCCCAAGTAGAGTTCTTCTAGAGAGCCTTCATTTCCTCTACCATAGCAGCCTTCCACTTAGGATCTCCAAAAGCATCCTAAAAATGACTAAGAACAGACACAGAAGACAACTGAAGCACAAAAGTTAGGTGAGTCTTAGACAGACGATGATAGAAAACAAAATCAGAGATAGGATAGACAACATTAGAAGAAAATTTGGAGAAACCCAACCTATCAGGTTCTTTACGAACACAAAAAGGATACCTCTTACCCGGATCACCAACCTGTGGATTCAAGGCAGCAATCTCCACAGAAGTTACAGGGTTAGAATTAATATCTGAAGTTGTAGTTAAAGGAGAAGAAACATGTACCTCAGAGTTAATCCTAGAAGATTCATCCGATGGCATGGTAGTATCATCAAGAGGGATACTAGAGTTAAAAGGAGGCGGCATGACAGTGGCATCCTTGTTCCTTCTCACATATACTTCTTTGAACAAGTGGGCTGGTCCTATTTTTTTATCGAACTCAATCTCCACATGATCAAGAGTATCTAAAGTTTCTCCTTTTTTCATAACAGCTAAATCCTCCTCCTTATATGAAATCCACAACCTCTTTTCTTCCAGCCATAACTGTTCCTCTTCCTTATTACTAATCTCCCCCTGAAGAGGAATCAGAGATACATCCCCAGAAAATAAGATTCTCTTTCACAAAACTGAACATCCATGGACACATAGTATTTATTTGTAGGAGGATGAAAACATTTATAGCCCTTTTGTGAACTAGAATAACCAAAGAAGACACACTTAAGAGCACGAGGGTCAAGCTTATCCCTATGAAGAGAATGTATATGAATATAACACACACAACCAAAAACCTTAGGACAAAAAATAAGTGTAGAAGGAATAGAGTGAAATCGGGATAGCATTCTCAATAGAGTTTGATATTTAATTATACGAGAAGGCATTCAATTGATAAGAAAAACAACAGTCATGACAGCCTCGGCCTAGAAACGCTTAGGAAAATTCATAGTAAAGCATAAGGTACGAGCCACCTCTAAGAGATGACGATTCTTATGCTCTGCTATGCCGTTTTGTTGTGGCGTGTAGGCGCACGTTGTCTGGGGGGGATGCCATGTTATTTGAAGAAATCAATAAGAGACTGATTCACATACTCACCACCATTGTCAGAATGGAAAACTTGAACCTGAGTATGAAATTGGGTGACAATCATTTCGTAAAATTGAGGAATAACATGTATAGCATCACTCTTAGATTTTAGCAAATAAACCCAACTCACTCTAGTACAGTCATCAATAAAAGATACAAAGTATTTATGACCCGAAGCAGAAATAGTAGAAAAAGGACACCACACATCTGTGTAAACACATGAAAAAGGAATAGGACTTTTATTGAAACTCACTTTAAAAGGAACACGATGGTTTTTAGCATAAATGCATTGTTCACACCCTAAACTAAAAGCAGAAATATTGCAAAATAACTTAGGAAATAAACGTTCTAAATAAGAGAAAGATGGATGTCCCAAAAGACAATGCCATAAAAATATCTTCTCTTTGTCAGACTCTCTCTTTACTTGAAAACCACGACTAAGTTCAGATTTTAACTCCCTTACCCCCTTCTCCAAGTAGTAAAGACCTCCTCTCTCCTTACCAATGCCAATCGTCATCTTCGTAAGATTGTCCTGAAATACACAATGGGTAGAATGAAAAGTTACAGAACAATTAAGATTTTTGGTAATTTTGCTAATGGAAAGAAGGCTGTTAGAGAGATTAAGTGCAAGTAAAACTGAAGACATGGAGAATGTAGGAGAAAGTACGACATTCCCAGCCCCTATAATTGGCATAAGAGTCCCGTTAGCAACTTGAACAGACTTAACGGGTGAAGGTATTAGAGAGTCAAGTATGGAAGAGTTACTAATATGATCAGTGATCCCTGAATCAATAACCCAAGTGTTAGAAGCAGTAGAAATAAAGTCCAAACCAGAATTACCTCATTGAGAAGACACTCGAGATACATGAGAAGAAGAAGATGAAGAAGTGTCAGTGATAGCAACCTGAGCAAATTTCTTTTTCTTCTTCTCAGCTTGTTTAAGCTTGAACCTGTGATGTTTCCGATTTTCGGCATTTTTTATTTTTCTAGAATTTTTGTTGATGCGAGGGTATTTTCATCATTTCACGTTTTGCCTGCCGAACACCGTGGAGTGTGCTGGGTGTGTCGTATAGTCGTTGGGAGCATTTCAGTGAGTTTGGCATTCTTTGAAATGCAAGGTTGATCATTTTCGCATTTTACCATTTTTCGGACCTGCTACCG